TTTTTTTTTTTTTTCACCGTTATGTAGGTGACAGATTAAGTTAATGCGTGCAGGCATGAACCTTTATCATATTTGCTCGGCAAAGAGTATTTTTATCATGCATACGGGCCAATTTATGCTCTTTCAGCAGATGTTGTGGCGAGCCTGGTTGCTTTAAGAAATGACAGGTTAGTTATATTCCTAGTTTATTGTCTGTTAAATATACCACCTCAGATATGCATATAAGTTTGCTGTGTTATTGTCATTATTATTATTCTTTTACCACCTTTATGTAGCATCCTGCTTGCACAACTGCAACTGTAATTGCAATCTTTTTTGTTTCAAGAAAAGGATCTGCCTCTTAACTGTAAAGAATATACTGCTTGGAAAGTTTATCTTCTTCAGTACAACGATGATTACTGTAAAAAAAATCAGAGACGCTAGTTGTTTGTAATTGTTCGTTCTTATAACTGTGCTAGTCTAGATTGAGCCTTAAGTTACCAGTTACCATCTTTTGTTAGATACTCCAAGCCGTGTCTGCTCGACTTTAGTGAAACTATTCCTGAATGAAACTTTAGAAGCTTATAAAAGCAACTCTTTGGTGACCTTAAAAATGAAACTTTGGGTGGTGAACCAACATATGCCAGCCCTTATGAAGTTTGTGAACTCATATATACATCTTATTTGAAAGGAGATTTTTCTTACATTTTTTTTTTTTTTTTTTTTCGGAAGCATGGTGATGCATATTGTTGCTTCATGGCATGGCTAGCTATACCTCTCAAACAGAAAGAACTGTGTGGGTTAGGTACTTAGATTAAAACAGGCACCAATATCATTCGCAGTTTTTAATGCTATCTCCTTGCATTTACTTTTTAAACATTTCTTAGGTACGTAATTTTGACTAATTTTCCTTACACTATCCTTTACATATGATACTACAGTTTCCGAATGTTTAGCAACGAGGATGTTACCATCGGTTCGTGGATGCTCGCCATGAATGTGGATCATGAGCATAGTGAGGACTTATGTAGTACAGAGTGTACATCTACTTCTATTGCTGTCTGGGATAATCCCACGTGTTCGGGTGCGTACGTAGATATATAATCTATACGTCTGTTTAAATACTACTAATCAGTCTAATCCATTAACAGCAAATCACCTATTTATTCATTGCTCGATTTTCTTGAAATTCATTCGTCATCACGTAATCGTGATTTGCTGCTAGGACTCTGCAATCCGGAGAAGAAGATGCTTGAACTTCATAAGTTAGACATATGTTCCAACAGCTCAACTCTACCACCAGATGAAGATTATGATGATAATAATGAGACTGAAGATGATTGAATTTCAGTTGACGGTAATTCTTCCCCTCTTGACCGAGTCGCGTTGGTTGACTCGGCTACTATACAGAACATACATCTCTATAACTTTTTGTACCACTGATTATTGTCACCAACTTCATTGAGAAAAAAAGAAAATTTTGATGACCATGATCTTTAAACTTGTAGAAATGTATAAGGTTAATATGCTGATTTTTTTGTACTTTTTTTACGTTAATGTAGCCTGTGGCTAAATATTTAGGGAATTTGGCATTAGTATAATGGGCTTAATGATACAAAGTTAGCTTTTTAAGAAAACATGACGGTCTTGTGTGATCATATGTCCATTAGTTTGCCTGTTTCTATTTTTTCGTTTTTTTTTCTCCTATTTTGGGTGTCTCTCTCCATATATTAATTAATTGGAGTCTAGGTATTCAGTTTAGAGGTGGCCAAAACCCAAGTCTGCCGGGTCGGTGGGCCTTGTTGGGAAAAATACGCTGAAATTTTCATGAAGTCGGATTTATAAAAGTGAAATAAAAATAAAAAATAGGACACACCAATTTGATAACGGAGTTCGGCCAATAATGCCTACGTCTCCGGACTACTGCAGATATTTTATTGGGAAAAAGAAATACACTCGTGTTTACAAAACACTCGTAAACTCACTCACAACTCACAACTCAAAAATACAAAAGCTAAATTTTTATTAGCTCTTTCTCTCTCTCTTTTCTTTCTGTATTTTTGTTGTTGTGTTTGTTGATCAGAATCCCCCTCAATTTATAGAGGGGGAAGTGTACTAATTTTCAACAAAGGCAGCAGCCGTGCTGTAGCTTTTCAATAATTGTGTACTGCAAATTTTCCACACATGGCTGCTGGTGCAAAAAACATGTGGGCTGCAGAACTTTTTTATTATTTTTCTTCTTTGGCTGATTGTCAAATTGAGTGGGTACAACAACCCATTTTGACTCAACAATCTCCCACTTGAGGACTGATTTCAATCTGTCCTCATACCTCAATTACTGCAGTAGTCTTCTCCGGTCTGTTATCCTAGCAGGCCAACTGAAGTTGAGCACAACTTCAGTTTGCCAATGGTCACCACATTCGTTAGCATATCTGTCGGGTTCTTGCTTCCCACAATCTTTTTCAAAGCCAACACTTCATCCTCAAGAAGAGATATGATGAAATGATATCGAATGTCAATATGTTTAGTTCTGGAGTGAAACACTGAGTTCTTTGCCAAATGTATTGCACTCTGACTGTCACTGTGCAAGACACTCTCTTTTTGAGTGAAACCCAACTCTGCTAACAATCCTTGAAGCCATATCAATTCTTTACTGGCTTCTGTCACTG